CATCAGCCAGAAATTTATACATTACGACAGCTATTTTAAGCAACTCAGCAACTGCATTGCACTTTTTATTTTGAGTTCTTAGTACATTGACGTAGGACGGTGGCCGTTTGATTAATGACTGGATTAACTGAATCGTAGGTCCAAGAAAACGGGTCTTTTCCTTTTCTTATAGGCCGTGGTACTCCTTATTGCTTAAGACCGCATGTCAATGTTCTTGGTTTATTCTTGCAGATGAATTAAAAGTTGTTTTAATTTTATCGAGTACACATGGAATTCCTTTTTAAAAAATAGTGTCTATATCTACTTTTATAGTTGAAAATATTATTAATTTTAATTTATTCGTGAACTGACTCTGGGACTGATAGAGCTAGTCTCTATCAGTTCCCGTTCCCGTTCAGTAGCATTGTTCTTCTATAAAGTTGAAATAAAAAAAAAAACTTCGGTCCAACCTGCTTACCAAGCGAAAGGTTATGGTAAATATTCTAGAACTCTCAAGCCTAACAATGGACTGTCATAGATAATCTACGGTAAATGTTACCGCGTCATCGCTTACCACCAGGCGAGATAGTGGTCAAACGTCGGCTCATCAAATATAAAAAAAGTTCATGATTGATTACATTATATGTATAGTGAAGGCACTTTATGAACACTTCTGCTTACGTTTTCTTTAAATAAGAGGCTCAGTAGTGGTCTTGTATGTTTTAAATTAACGGTTCAACCAGTTACCCTCATTGGCATGAAGATAGTAGAATTTGAAATGTCTAGTCCTCATTTAAGTGGGTATGTAAGGCGTCCGACTTGGCATCGATGCCCGCAACTGCTGAAGCGAGTTCAAGGCCACCGGTGCAATCTATATTCATTCATTATTACGAACATCTGTTGTGTATTATTTACTCTAACTTTGCGCCTAAGTATTATTATAACTTAACTTTCTTGGCGACTCATTATGTAAGTAACTATATATATATTATCTACATAGTATCACTGTTTTTTGTCAGAAGGAGTGAGCAGAGGTGTATATTCTATTAGTGTACTTTCATTGTTTCCTATATAACTACTATCTTACGTTCACAATAATATGTTGTACATTCCATCAATGAGGTATCCAATCAGTCAGAACCAATCAGTTAACTATAAGATGGTCTAAGAAAAATACAAGCATTGTAAAACACAACAAAAACAATACGAATCACAGAGATGTGTTAGGTACAGCATGTTACCATCACAAACAAATAAAGATACATTCGAAACTAATTAAGTCATTAACTAAGGGATTAGACACGCCATTGACCACGGGAAATATGCGGGAAATAATGAAGATGACTTGCAACTCTACACCAGGTGATAGCGAACCTTTACAAGTCAATATACCATGTTCCGGAAAAAAATGAATGTGCCATATTTTTTTTTTAGTTTTTATTTTAAGTAGCTATCAATCCAAGAGATATCAGTTCTGATGTAAACTGTCACTGTTGCCTAAGTACCTACACCTGCAACACCAGAGATATCTCATATTCGTAGCCGGCCGTAAAATTGACTAAATAGTGACTTGCCTTAAATTCTACATTATACCAGTGGCTAAGGTTCACCATCCCTGATTTGCACCATAGCTCGAATGTTACGGAAATAATAAAGGAAATCGATGAAGCACGCTCCCTTTTTGCTCGATAACCACAAGATGGCGATGGGATGGTCTTGAACCGCAAAACTGGCGTTAATCTTGTATCCCACGAAGTACATATTATGTTTTGTTCTTTGGGTAAATAAGTTTGTGTACTACGGGGCAATGTGGTCTCGGTTTGGATAAGGCTTATATATTTTCGTTGATTTAAAATCTCCATTGTAGATATTACTCTTATTGCGCTGTTTACGTTGCCATTAATCATAATAACGTAGGACCTAGATATAGTTCAAAGGAAAATATCCGATTTCGTTCATGACAGTTAAGTGATTGCACGCTTAGTGCATGTGGTGGCTTGACAATCGTTTTCTACGCGACGGAACGTGGGTAGTATTGGCTGCTTTTATATAATTTGTAAACATTCATGACACAAGACACCCTAGGCAGCGATTATAAAATCCCACACACATTACTAAACAAAACGTTGTATACACTGGGAATATAACATAACATGAAGTGATAAGTATAAAATATAACTTTAAAAGCCGATAAACATACAAAGTTTGTACTAGACTATCCAATTTATATTCTAGACGTTAATATCGGGACTCAATCGAGGTGCAACCGCAAGAATGCTGTTCCACCACAACTGCTGGAAAGGGAATCTTCTACAAACCTGTTTTATATTGCGCCCTTCAATACGCTGTAATAAACTATTGGCACCGGTTACTTAAAGCGACCCATGCAATTTAACAAGTAATTGAAAGTAAAAGTTTATTGGTTTACGCTTGTTAATCTTATCCGGAGAGTACTGGGTGATTAGGTCAGTTATGTAGGTACCGAGAATATAAATGTGTTATGCCTACCTATGCATGTACTTACAGTGACACATTTTTATCCTTGAATGGTAAGGCTGATAAGTAAATGTAGCGCTTATCGACTTTTTGGCAGTTAGAAGTAATGAGACATCAAGTAACGGAGGCCACGTTATTGTAAGAGATTACCTTAGCTACAGTTTTAATTGCAGCGTTTTCTGAATTGCTAAGTGTGAAGTTTTATCTATAGTAGCGAGCACTTCTAGAAAAATGACATCAAATTTGAGACGGCGAGATAATTACACTAGTCTATCAAGGAGCCAGGCCCATCCAACAAATAATCAACAATGTAAATACATACTTGCCTTAGACTACATTCTTTTTTGTTACCACACTTGATTATTCTGCTCATTTGCTTTGCATAACTCGCGTCATACCGAGTGCGTAATGACAGTGCCCAACGCCATATAAAAAGAAACTTGCCCTCAACGTATCATCGTTTTGCCTTATTTTCAACAACCCGAGAATTGTAATTATTAGTGCCAACGAACTTCAGTACCACGATCAATTTGTTCTTATGAAGGCTACTTGGCTATTCACATGTGACCTTTAGAAAAATGCCCGGGGAATCGTTGGGAATTCTTTGCGAATGAGTACTGGTGCTAGCGTGATACTTTTACGACTTTTTTGTTAGGTCTCCTTACAAAAAATACTCGGTAAATATATTTGAGATTAGCCGCTATTAAGATCTTGTTTAATAATACGCTTGCTTTCATAAAATGTTACCAGCAAATTAAAATTGCATGCAGTATCACTACTTATTTTGGTTCGGTCTATGAATAAATTTTAATTTACAGTTATATGGTGTTCTAGTCTGTAATTATCTTACGGTTTTTATATTTATAGTTATAGGTACCCAATAATGTTTTTTATCAAACGTTACAACAGTATTTTTATACTGGTAGCAATTAATGAGTAATTGCTCAGCCAAATCAAGAAAAAAAATATCGTAAGTCCAGTATTAAGCGAATTTAATTGTAACATAATGTGTTTAGATATCACAAAATATTTGAACTCTTTTTATAGATGTTTAACCTCTGTCAGAGGAAGGTATCTCTGTCAGAGGTAGAAGGAATAAAAATTGCATTCCAGACTCCTAATTTTTTTCAGACACAAAAATCACATTTGCATCAAAACTTTCGTAAGACGTTTTTATAATAATATTATAGTTATAGTACGAAAGTAAATTTATTATAATATTTTTGGACTTAGCTACTCACATAACTGTTTGACGAGGAACTCTACTAGTTTCAAGCCAATCTAGAGGTTCATATTCACGAGGAGCATTCTGCGACAGACATCGTATCATATGCGACGTGAAAGAAAAATAAATAACCACATTTAAGCACCTATATCTATACAGATAAATATAATTGGAGTGTCAGTTTGAATTAAAATAAGCACTTTTTACTACATGTATATGACTATATGTATACGAATGCATATAGTATTGTATACGATACACATACCAAAACAATTTTTTACTATTTTTGTCTATCTGTCTGTCTGTTTGTACTCGGAAATCTCCGGAATGGCTGGATCAATTTTGCAAGACTTTTATTGACACGTAGCTGATGTACTTAGGAGTAACACAAACTAATAAAACAAAAAAAAATTAACAAAAAAAACGGACAAAGTCGCGGGCAACAGCTAGCTTATCATATTACGTAGCAAGGTAATATTGTTTATTTTCTTAGACATTATTATTATAAAGCACATGGCTTAAAGTAACAGACGAATTCGTGATATAGACCTACCTACATAGGTATAGGTAGGTATATTCTTAACAGTAGTACCTACAAAATAAAACACACACAACCTATTCAATTAAAATAACACGTACATAGGTACTACATATGTACATTGAGTATGTCGATTCCATGTAATGATTCATATTGATGTATTTTTTATATTAATAATATGTATTAAGGTTGTAAAATAACTTTGTTATTATTAAACATTAGTCATCATTTCCCGAGTAATTTTCTTGAATAGACACGAAGTAACAACAAAGGGGTTTGTGTTTTTCTATAAATAATCATATGACTAGTTTATTAGTACAATGAAATAAATGTTTGACAAAAGTATCTACTGTTTTTATACAAAGCCACAATTTTTTTTTTGAGACTACCTCGTTGGCCGTGTTTTCACAAGTGCTACTGCTGTTCTCTGGTTCGATTCCCGGGTCAGGCAAAGTATTACTGGATTTTTTGAGAAATTCTCATGCATGCAAAGCATGGAGTCTAGAATTGTGCCCGGTATATGGCAATAGGCTCACCCCATATTACATGGGACTCATAACATAAATAGTGAAAAGTGGATGTTACATTGTACAGTGGCATTAAGTGCCCTAATATCCACCTCTGCCTACCCCTTCGGGGGTAAAAGGCGTGATGTTGTGTTTGTATTTTAGAATGACCCTTTGGTCAAGTGGTCGCTAGGATAATATTATGTAAACTAAATATTTGCATAATGTAAAAATAATGCTATTTTTATTGTTCCAGATACAGACTTGAAAAATGTCATGCAAGTTATAACCGGAACAAAAACACAAAATGGACAATACATTGAGAAGATTTTGTAAATTATATACATTTGTCCTTCTCTTACTAATTGTTGAAGCGACAGACAGCAATAATAATGGTTTGTATCTATTTAACTAAAAATGAGAATGTCTCATTTGCTTTAAAGTCAATTTCAAATCTAATAACAGAAATTACATAATGCTATAACAAGATATCAAGATAGAGGGTTAAAATGGGACACATAATTGAACCTTAAGGTTAAGCCTGTTGAAGAATATGTGGAACCGAACCTCAAAAGAATCCGAATAAAATAGCACGATTTACTATCATTTCAGGAACTACTCAAGATAATCGAAAATCTCGTGTTACTGGCAGAATAGTCAAATTATACTCTGGCACAAGACCAGAACCTATATTATGTGCTAGTGAAGGTTTCCAAGCAGATCCTCGCGACTGTGCTGTATTCTACCGCTGCATGAAGTCAGGAAACGGAAAATTCACTGTTTTCAGGGTAACAAACATATCTAATTATTAATAATGAAAAAACCAACCTTTTTATCAAAAATATCTACTAACAATAGAAATTTATTAATTTCAGTTTCAATGCGGTCCTGGTACGGTTTATGATCCAGAAACTGAAGTTTGCAACCATCCTCGAAGTACAAGACGCACAGAATGTGGTGGCTTACTACCTGCACCGCCAGTTGATCGCCTTAATAATAATGAAATTGAAGGCGCGCATAATGAAATACCTTCACCAATTACCAACATTCCTACACTTTTACAATCGACGACGGTTGCTAAGAATACTTGGACACCGTCTAGCTCCACCATGAGTACCTCTACTAAACGACAAGTATCAGAAGTTCCTTCATTATTTACGAATTTATATCCATGGGAATCAACTGTAGGCCATACTACCACGGATTATACTCGTAATCCAACCTTGCTACAAAGTATAACAACTCAAAAACCATCGTATACTGAAGCGTCCAAAAACATTTCACCGTCGACCTCAGCCGCTGAATCTCATTCAAACTCTCAAGATAATATTTGTACTTCTGATGGATTCATGGGCGACAGTGAAAATTGTCGCAAGTTTTACAGATGTGTGGCTAACCAAAGAGGAACTTACACCAGATTTGAGTTTTCATGTAGTGAGTCAACAGTATGGGATGATGATACACAAAGCTGTAACCATGCTTGGGCAGTGAAACGAAGCCGTTGTGGTAGAAGCAATCAGAACAACCATGTGGCAACGAATACAAAAGTTCCACAAACAGATAGGACAACAGATAAAACTATTCAACAACAATTACAAATAAGTTATGGTTCTAAAGTTACGCAGACTCAAACACAAATAAGCAATGGATCTGTGATACAAAATCAAACTCAAATAAATTTTGGAGATCGTTTAAATCAAAACAAGGACACGAAAGCTGAACAAAATCAGACACAAATAAGCTACGGGTCAGCAATCAGTCAAACACAGACTCAAATTGATTACAGTGATAAAGCTGTACAAACACAGTTACAAATTGATCATTCTCAACAGTCAAGTCAATCACAAACACAGATTCATGGACCAACTACAAACGGACCTTCCAGGTCTACTCAATCATCCTCAAATAATGTAGGAAATACATGTGAAACATCAGGTTTTATGGGGGATGCCAATGACTGTAAAAAGTTTTACAGATGTGTTGATAATGGGAGAGGAGGATACACAAAATTCGAATTTTCGTGTGGTGAAGGTACAGTATGGGATCAAACTATTGAAGCATGTAATCATGCATGGGCTGTTAAGGAATGTGGAGGAAAAGGTACTTCGGGAACCACTAGTACAACACAAGCTTCTGCAAGTACTTCTCAGTCAACACAAAATTATCACACAACAGCATCAGCTCCTCCTCATACTACTCAAGAAATTGTAACTCAAGATTACGAAGACAGTGGTTATGGTCAACAAAATCAAAATCCGACTTCGTCTTCTTCAACAACCTTGAGTTCAACGACTACTTCAACTAGTGTGAAACCATCTTCCAATGGAGATTGTCAATTTAGTGGATTTATTGGCGATCCAAATGACTGTAAAGTATTTTACAGATGTGTCGAAAATGGTAAAGGCAGCTTTACGAAATACGAGTTTAAGTGCGGTGAGGGTACAGTTTGGGATCCAGATTTGGAGGCATGTAATCATGCATGGGCTGTAAAACGATGTGGTGACAGTGCATCTCCTGACGTAAGCCAAACAGAAACCACCACTGAAAAACAAAATATACAGTCGACAACCAGTACTATAAGTAGTGCAGTCACTCAGTCATCAAGTGAACTGCCTGCAACACAAAATGATGATTATGATACTGGTTACGGTCAAAATAACAACGATTTAACGACTTCTTCAACTTCAACGACGACTACGACGAAACAACCACATAATACAGACAATACGGGTAACATTTGTCAATTTAGTGGTTTTATGGGTGATCATAATGATTGTAAAAAGTTTTATAGATGTGTTGATAACGGTAATGGAGGTTTTACACGTTATGAGTTTACATGTGGCGAAGGAACAGTATGGGATCCTAAAATAGAAGCATGTAATCATGCCTGGGCAGTGGAAAACTGTGGTGGATCAGCAGGAGGACATCAAGAGGCTACAACTCAAACTAAACCTACCACTATAAATGAAGTAGTTGCAAGTAGTACAACTCAAAGTGACCAGAGTACAGTATCATCTACACCACTCCCTAGTTCTACAATAAGTTCTTCAACTTCAGCAGGATCTGTACCAGCAGCTAGCACTGATTGCAAAAATAGCGGTTTCATGGGAGATCAAAATGACTGTAAGAAATTTTATAGGTGCGTAGATAACGGCAAAGGATCCTATATCAAATACGAATTTTCTTGTGGGGAAGGTACAGTATGGGATCAAAAAATAGAAGCATGTAATCATGCATGGGCAGTAGAAAAATGTGGTGGTTCTGGAGGTTCATCATCTAGTCATCAGGAAACTAGCACACAGTTGTATCCGACAATGAGTGATGAAATTGAAAACGGCTACCCTTCAATCATTGATACTGATTCGGATACTACTACTCAAAGTGCAACAACTCATTCAACAACAGAGGGTTCGAAAATACCAAGTAGCAGTAATAACTGTCTAAGCAGTGGTTTTATGGGAGACAAAAACAACTGTAAGAAATTTTATCGTTGCGTAGACAACGGTAATGGTGGATATACCCGTTATGAATTTGATTGTGGAGAAGGAACCTTATGGGATCAAAGTATAGAAGCGTGTAATCATGCATCGGCTGTCAAAGATTGTGGCGCTACCAGTAACAATACAGTACAGGAACCTGTTGAACCTTCCACACAAATATCTTCAACCACGGAAACTGGAGAAGTAGGTTATCCTCAAAGTACTGAAAAAACTAGTACTTCAACAACGCACACATACCCAGAAAGTACCACAAGTGAAATATGTTCTAAAGAAGGCTTTGTTGGCGATAAAAATAATTGCAAGAAATTTTATAGATGTGTTGACAACGGTCGAGGTGGTTACACAAAATATGAATTTACTTGCGGCGACGGTACATACTGGAACCAAGAAATACTATCATGTGATCATGCTACATCTGATAAAACGTGTTTTGGTACCGAAAGCAGTTCAGGTACTCAAACCCATCAACCAGAACATGATGAGATTTATACAGAATCTTCCAGTATGTCCAGTTCAACAACAACAGAAAGAAATGAAATTCAAACCCAGAAACCTCAAGTTTCATCTGACGTATGCGAATCAGAAGGATTTTATGGAGATAGAAATGATTGTAAAAAGTTTTACAGATGCGTTGATAATGGGAAAGGAGGATATACCAAATATGATTTCACTTGTGGAGAGGGGACAGCTTGGGATCAAGAAATACAAGCCTGCAACCATGAATCAAGTAATAAAAATTGTTTATATGCTACCGTACCTGCTATTTCTTCATCAACTACACACCAGCCAGCTCTTGTAACTGATAACTCTACGACAACAGCTTCGCAAACTCAGCACACGACTGAAACGACTCAAACTTCTTCATCTCCTTCTAGTAGTCCTCAATGTTCATCTGAGGGATTCTTCGCAGTTCCTAATGATTGTAAGAAATTTATAAGGTGCGTTAGCAATGACAAAGGAGGATATACAAAATATGAATTTTCTTGCGGTGATGGTACAGTGTGGGTTCAAGATATATTAGCTTGCGATCACGATACCGGTGATACAAATTGTAGCTCTCAGTCTACAAGTCGTCCAGTAATAACGGAAGGTAATCAACAAACAACAGAAAACAACGAAATGAGTAGTTCAACGACTGAAACTCAAACGATTGATAAGCAAGAAGATGAATATGATAATACTAATTCTGAGAAACCGTCTTCTATAAGCAGTGGTCAATGTACATCGGAAGGATTTTACGGAAATGAAAATGACTGTAGACAATTTTACAGATGCGTAGATAACGGTCAAGGAGGTTACACGAAATATGATTTTACTTGTGGTGAGGGAACGGCATGGGATTCTAATATTCAAACTTGTAATCACATAGATCAAGTGAAATCTTGTCAAGGAGGTAGCCCATCACAACCTGTGATGCACGACGAGGACAATAGTCCTACTGAAGCTTCTAGTACCTCATCTAGTTCAACGACAGCTGGTTCTACAAGTTCTATTGCAACAACTAGTAGTTCAACATCTTCAAGTACAACTACATCGTCTGAGTCTGATCATACAACTTCAGCTAATAAAGACAAATGTGACAGTGAAGGCTATTTTGGAAATTCTGAGGATTGCAAAAAGTTTTATAGATGCGTAGATAATGGAAAAGGAAGCTATACAAAGTATGACTTTACTTGTGGTGAAGGTACAATATGGGATCAAGATATAATAACCTGTAACCATCCACAGGATGTTGTCAATCCTTCCTGTAATCAACAGCAAGACGCTAGTTCATCATCAAGCACTGAAGCAAGTTCTTCTTCCTCTTCTTCGGCAAGTGGTACCACATCGACTACATCACCATCATCTACTCAAAGTACAACAGAAAGCTCTCAAAATTCATCCAATTGTACACAAGAAAACTCTTCTAAAAAACCCCAAAATCAAAATATTACTTGTGACAAAGCAGGTTACTATGCCAACCCTAATGACTGTAAGAAATTTTATAGATGTGTAGATTGGGACGGAGATGGAAAACGATTCTCAGTATATCATTTCGAATGTGGTGAAGGTACTATTTGGGATCCAGCAGTTGAAACTTGTAATCATGAAGAATCAGTGTATCCTCCGCGTGATTGTAGTAGTTCTGAATCTCAAAGTGCAAGTCCACCTCCAGCAACAGAGGGAACTACTACGACACAACAAGACACCACAAGCTCACAAGAAAGTACTTCGACTCAAAGTACATCTACATCTCAATCTAGCACAGAGCAAACAACACAGTCAAGTACTACTGAGTCAACAACTACAGAGCAATCGACCACTTCAGAACAAACTACCACACAACAATCATCTACATCGGAACAAACAACATCTAGTCAAACGTCTTCACAAGCGACTACAGAACAGACAACACAGCAATCAAGTACCACAGAGCAGACTACTGAACAAACTACTCAGAGTACATCGTCTTCACAAACAACTACTGAACAGTCTACCACCTCTGAACAAACAACTACGCAACAATCTACCACATCAGAACAAACCACGACTCAACAGTCAACCACTTCCGAGCAGTCAACTCAAGAATCAACCACATCGGAACAGACGACACAATCTTCTACAACTACAGAACAATCGCAACAGAGTACTACTGAACAATCAACGACGAGTGAAGGAACGACGGAACAGACAACCACAGAACAATTGATCACAGAACATACAAGCACAGAACAATCAACTACAGATCAATCTACCATACAGCAATCTACTACAGAGCAGTCTTCTACTGAACAATCTACCACGGAACAATCTACCACAGAGCAATCTACCACACAGCAATCTACTACAGACCAATCTACTACTGAACAATCAACCACGGAACAATCTACCACAGAACAATCTACTACAGAGCAATTTACCACGGAGCAATCTACCACAGACCAGTCTACTACTGAACAATCAACCACAGAACAGTCTACCACCGAACAGTCGACTACACAACAGTCAACCACTGAACAGTCTACCACTGAACAATCTACCACTGAACAGTCTACCACTGAACAGTCTGCCCCTGAACAGTCAACCACAGAGCAATCAAATGACAACTCAACAACAGAAAGTAAATGCCCAGAGACCAATGAAGACCAATCACTCTTTGTATGCCCAACATCATTTAGAAGACATCCAAAGTATTGCAATTTGTTCTACCAATGTGACGAGGATGATGATACACATGACGTAAAGATTGCAGTATTTACATGTCCCAACAATACAATCTACGATGAAAGTCAAACTCGTTGCGTAGAAGAAAGTAAGGCTGACAAAAAATGTGACGGAGAAATAGCACAAAAAAGAAGATTTAAAAGATTAGATAAAAACTATAAGGAACCTGTAAGTATCATTCAATATTTGTATTATTAAAACCTTGTAAAAATAAATCATTAATATTATATTTAGATAATTGGGATGATGACAGGGTATGAGAATTAAAAATCTAATTAGTTCGTCAGTTAGATAATAAAAAAATATTAGACACGTATTTTTAATTTTGTCGTATGAGAAAACAATACTTAGATAAAACAAATCAAAATTTAGGAGTGGGAAGCTACGTCATTTTAGAGTATAAATTGTACTCAAAAGTGACGTCATGCGATATTTCAAATCAATACATCTTCGAAATTATTCGTTTCCGTAAGAAAATAAAAAAAACGTGTCTAATATTTTTATATAATCTATCAGACAGACATTAAAATAAAAATTAGTTATCTACCGTATTTTCAAAATCGAAAAACGTCTGCAAAAATAAAAGTAATTAAATTTAGAAAAAAATACAATAAGACTATCAAATTAAACCGCAAATAAATAATAATATTTTTCTTACCTTTTCCAGATTGTGGTAACCAAAGAAAGTCAAGCATGTCCCGGCGTTGGCTACTTCTCCTTTGAAAAAGACAGTGAATGTTCTCCAGCTTTCTTAAAATGTAAAAAAGACAAGAGAAATGTAATAAGAGGCTTAGTATATCGTTGTCCGAGAGGTTACGTTTACTGGTCAATAAGTAAAAGATGCGAACCAGACGATAGTGTAAGAGACTGTAAACGCTCACAAAACAACTGGTCAGGACGATGGGAGATACCCGTAGAACGAAGAAATGTAGCGGGTTAATAAAATTATTAGAATGAGGTTCTTTCATAATAAGCCCATCATTTTGTGATATATCGTGTTGTAAATTCGTGCAAACATTAAATTAGTAAAGTAAGTACCTATTAGATAGATATTCATATGAATTGTAATGAGCAAGATGTTCAAATCCCATAGTACGTCATAATAATGAATTCCGCCTTATAGTATAAGCGCTGACTACATTACAATCAAATGTGCAACAAACTTATGGGATACTCAAATTTGGTAATCCTTTACAAATTGTATTCAATGATTAACAAAACATCTAGTCTAATTTTATTAAACTATTTTTTTTTACAAACGATACTTGCTGCCATAAGATTAAGAATAAGAAACTTGTGAACAAAATATTGAGATTAAAGTGTCGACGATATTTTGATCACGACTTTATTAGTTAGTAAGTTAAAATGTAAATGAATCAAGCAAGGAAATAAATTATTTTGCAAATCATGTTGTTTTCTTCAACAGCAGATTATAAACGGATTAGAATGAAAAAAATAAAATAAATACAATTATTTAATAATACAAATTCCTAAAATAACAGTCACTAAAATTAAAACAATTATATTAAAATCAAATCAATACCCATACACGAAGATAAAAGTCCTTTACAAAATAGTGTTAGTTCAGCAATTATAAAGTCAGTAACACTTTCTTCTTGTCTATGATGTGCAGCATTGCTAAATATTGTGCCTAAAAATGCATGACATGGTATATCAGTTGCTATAATGTTCCCTTTCAAATCGATTGTAAGACGACTTTGCTCTAAAATTTCATCTAGTTTAGTACCAGGAGGTCCCACGAAAGGCTTCATAAACTCAGATTTATTATATATTTCTGCTGCCGATACGATGACTGGCTTGTAGGTATCATCCATTTTTTTGTCTATTTTATCCAAAGAATGTGCTGACAATGAACTTTTAGTAACTCCAGATTTAGGTATCTCTATTACACTTTTGCGCGTCCTGTTTAATGTCGTTGTCTCTGTTGAGCTAGGTTTAGCATTAAGTTTATTATGAAATATAAACTCTAAAAATAAAGGTAATAGACTCAACTTTGTGGTATTCTGACTAGCACCTACAGATACAGTTGATTCAGTACTATTATTCATTCCAACACGATGTTTTGGTTCTTTAGTGTCACCGTCAATACGGAATGAATTTTTATGGGGATAATTTTCAAAGACATTGAGCGTCTTACTGGCTTTTTCCGACTCATTTTTAATTGTCGTGTCTATTTCACCATTTATGTAATGGTCGTTTCTTGTTACAACTTGTGATTTGATGTTTTCAGCCTCTGTTAAAGTTTGTTCAGAAAACGCATTCACGGATTCGTCGTCATTTTCTAAGGCGTGTATTATGTCACGTATGTTATTTAATTTTCTTTCTTTCTTTATAGTTTTACGTGGTTTACTATTATTTTTAATATCACGGGGAACGTTACTACGGTCTGAATATTTATTAAGTAACTTATTTATTTTTTCAGTATAAATAAAACGCTGAGACTTAGGAGTCAAAATAACAGGATTGAAAGCTATTCCTCCTTTCTCCCAGATTGACACAGAGCGAGCTAAAAATTCAATGAGTTGATTGGGTAAAGTTCTCCAGTGTTTTCTTAAAGGCGAATTTTGCATATAGGATGTCATTGTAACGTATTCAATGGCAATATTAGCCTTGGAAGGCTCTTTTTTCTGTTCCTTCTTCCATAGCGAGTTAAGTGCTAATTCGTTATTTTCTTCGGCACTCAACCAACTTAGGTTGGTATCATTAACCACGACAACCAAATGATATTTTAGATTAGGGTATTTACTTGCAAGTTCTTCTATGTAAGGAACGTATTGATTTAAGTTTATTTCTTCATTATGTTTGACAAAAACATGCATGAACACATCAGGCAATAAGGAGGAGGTGCTTCTGGCTGATTTTTCAATACTTTTGCCTAATATAAGACTAGAAGGTTTCGTGTTAGCAGTCGGTATCATGGAAAACGCAAACAGACTATTGTAAATGATAAAAGTTGTTAGACTAATCATTCCGAGACCTATCCACCAGTATGCGAGAAAAGACGACCAATGGTCTGGAAAGAGATGAAAAACAAGCACTTTATTAATTTGTCAATGGGAATAATTTTTTATTGAACACAAGAATTATAATAATTAATATTTTCGTACCTGGCCACCGGGTTATGATTGAAGCAGCTCCGTTCAGGCTGTGTCTGGGGCGTCCTCTGTAATTGGAGGAACGTATATTTCGGTGGTATCGAGGACTGTAGTACTCCTCATCCGAGATCTCCTCACATAATAATGGATGCTGCTCTTTGTAGTATTCACTCATCACTCGCCATTGGTTCTACTATTAACAAAAACAAAATATAAATCGTTCTATTCTAATAACTAATCAAATAGCTTTGCGCAACAAATCGAAAATTCAAAACATCTATAATAAAATAATTATTTTTAATCGCCAAATTCACCAATGACGTATGTTTTTATTACCTGAAATTTTTAATGGCCATTTTTGTCGTTTTTTGAGTATTGAAGAAGGTTGTATAGCAAATTTTAAGCAAACAGATTGAATATGGTGAATTTGGTTAGTAATAAAGACAAGTATTAAAACAGTTTATTGGGGCTATGATTATAAAAGTTGTAAGAATAACTTATGTAGTACATAACATAACATCACGCCTTTTTATCCCCGAAGGGGTAGGCAGAGGTGCACGTTACGGCATTTATAGCCACTGTACAATGTAACACCCACTTTTCACTATTTATGTTATGAGTCCCATGTAATAAGGGGAGAGCCCATTGCCATATACCGGGCACATTACAGACTCCGTGCTACTTCTGACATTTTTTTTAAAAACCCAGTAATGCTTTTCCCGACCAGGGAATCGAACCCGAGACCCCTTGCCCGGCAGTCGCACTTGTAACCACTCGGATAACGATTATGATTAATATAGGTACCAACCTATTTCTTTGTTCTAGCTGTCAGTGGTGCGAACGAAGTGTACCTTAACTAGGTACCTATTAGGTTAAGACTTTTTTTCGATTTTGAAACAGTAATTGTATCCCTGACTAAGGAATTAGGTTGGGGATGAATGACTTTACTGACAAAAAGTGGATCTCCAATACATCAACCCTTTGGGATTAAAACATAGGTAAGTACTTAATAATTTATGAGTTAAAAATGAAAACTGAATCTTTTTAGTTTTCATAACAAAGTGGAGTTTATAAATAAATATTATGTTATCAAATGAAAACACGTACCGCCATATGTTACCGTATCACTTTTACTGTATTGCTAACAGTTTTCAACCAAACAGTTATGGTTAATGAACACAGAATAAAATTATTAGGTCGCGTTAGGTTCTAACACTTGATGAGTAACGTTTAAATGAAAATGCACGTAAGTTCGTATATAATATGTGACCACTGTACGTTTACATTTTCCACCATAATTCTGTTGATTCAACATCGCATTCGTCTCACGTACAAACGTCTTGCAGTTACAATTGTTACTGAATTTTGCCGACTTCGCACTTGTGAAGGTGAATTTGTTACAAGTGACATTGTATTTGTTATCTTATGTTATTGTTTGTGTACAATGGATGTCTCGTTACGACATTATAATTGCTTATTTGTTATATTACGTAGTGGATATTGTTATGTACATTAAAACAGACACATTTCTATTTGTTGTATGATCCAGGACCGAACCAGTAGCCTAGCGATGGGTATGAGCAGAATTCACTAAATCAACGAGGCAGTGAAAAATAATTACATTTACAGCAGTAGGTACATCGTACGCTGCTACGTAAAGGAGTACTTAAAATTGGAGTAAAATAAATAACATTTTAACCCTTGATTTTAACAGGCAGGATTGAGGCACATAAAACCTACTTTCTATCTATGAGGTAATTGACAAAATAAAAAAAAATGGCTGACACTTATTTTAAAATTGGAATGTCTACAAAATTTGTTGCAAATGTCGTTCTCCCGGTTTCAATTTTTCACATACGTTGATAAATTGGAGTTATAAATCAAAATATACCATAAAGTTGCTAATTTTCCGTAGCGCAAAATAAGGTAAGTGGGTAACCTTTGTTTTATTGTGAGTCGATATAATAATTACCTCCTGAAATTGGGTTTATTGTTCTATCAGGCAAACCCTTTTCTTTTGTAGAGGAGTCTCACCGTTCTGCAGTGGATACCTACGGGCTATTAATGAACTGATCTATATGATGTTAAATGATTTTCGTTATATTACTGGCATACCCTTATTATCACGATCAGTAGTTCAGTAGGTACCTAGGTACCTTCAAGAAACCCCAAACATAGAAATTTCAATTAAAATCATAGATCTGATGATTTACAGAAAAACACTATAATGGTGGAGCGCGCTCCACCGACAAAACAAGACGAACAGTATCCCCTGTTGAAGGCAGACACAGGCGGTGGTGATGGCGGGATACAGCCTACCCCGACACTCGTCACTCCAAGCTGGGGAGTCACCTGCGCTCCGAAACAATCCTGGCTTGTCCGCTGGCCTGGTTAGCATCTTACTGAGATTATGAAGCTACATATAATTACTTTTTCGTGTGATAACAGGGCCAGTAGTATAGTACTTACCTAATTGTGAAAATTATAAATGTAGATTTTTTTTTGTACCTTAGACCTCGTGTTTCGTAGTTGTTCAGTCCTGTGATTTTTGGCCAGTTAATAAACATTACTTCACAATTTCAATATTTACTTTTTCACGTTACAACGGGCCTTAGCTACTATATCGACTACATTAACTTGCCATTGACCGGAACACCATTAAAGTAATTTGTAACACTAATTTTCCAAATTGTCGTTTCAATTTTATTTTTTGTTACGCATTTAGTAGGTACATGGTTACGGAAAAAGAACTAATTTTTTACTTGTAAAGCGACATCTGCAATCTTTAACTAGAAATTCATGTTTCAGAGTACATCTCGGCGTGTTGGATGACTCTGATATTGTTGGGCATATCCTTCCTTGTATTTTATGCGCTGGGTATGGAGGCGTATCGAAGGCAACCCGTATTGATAATTAAATGCAATTCTTCGAAGCCAGGAAGTGATGTCTTCTATCATCACATTGTGCTACGAGGTGGATTTGTACCTTTCGTAATATACGAAGATTATATTGCAAGCATGGCCACACAGTACCCTGAACTACATTTCCACCTATACTTCCTCAACGACGACTCTCTACAAACTACATTTAGAGGCCCAAGGCATCCCAGGTTCATAAATGAATTGCTTCCGTACTCTGGGAGCATCCCTCCGTTCTCTTACCCAAAACTGAGGGATGACATTAAGAGAAAAATTGAAGATTTTGAAAAAAGACACCAAAATGTCAATATTACCATAATGTCTCTGAGCAAGTACATGTCAATGACAGCTCTGAAATACAAATGGAGGTCTATACCTCTCCCATACCTACTTTTCTATGCGAGGGTCTTCTCAGTCTGGCAAAGTGGAGGAGTCGCCATGGATTTAATTACATTTAATAACAATTTTAATAATCGCCAACACGAAGATCGTAGAATTGCTGCCATATTGAAACAACATAATGATGGTATCAACGTTGAAGAGTATAAAACTGCTTTGAATAAAATCGATCGTGAAGAAAACGAGTTTTGTACCGTGTTTTATGCATTAATACATCAGCTTTTGAACGATACCAGGACATCTATAACTAACTTTTTTGCTTATCCTCAAATCACGATTCCCGAAAAGACTGGCTCTCCTAATGAGGCTTTGATTCGTACGAGTAGGAACAAACGAGATGTTTCTGCTTCAGCTTCTCTTGATAATAAAAATAATAAGTCTGAAGGTGTTTCGAATGTTTTTGTTGAAGTTATGAATTCGAAGAATGATACCGAATTGAAAAAGAGTGAATATAAAACGTTAACAAACCCCGACCTAGACACATTAAAACTTAATGAGTCCATTAAGGCCTTGCAAGGGAATGATACCATGAAAATAAACGGCATTATGAATAACACGGATGGATTTAATAGATCAGAAATACAACCAGATATGTTAAATAAGTCTGATACCGCTCAGGTGGTTCTGTTCTATGACTTTTCTGTGATTTCTGATGTCGGTCCTTCGTTTATTTTACCTGATATGGGTTTTCCTGATAATAGACATACCAAAAATGTAAAAACTGGTAACAACGGTGCACAACTTCTCACTATTGATCCTGATGGTAAGTTTGTGGCAGCATCTTCAAGACTGCACCGATTTTTAGGACATTTAATTGCGGCCGGTTGTCAACGTATGCCTCCTAAATTCGCCATTCAAAATACTCTCTTTACGCAGTGCTCCGATATGTATAAGGAAGACAATTATTGCGACAATATTTATATTCTTTAGTTATAATTTCACATTTACGCTCATTTTTGTTAATATTCTTCTATTTCTTGTTTTTTTTTGTTTCCATTTGTTATACTCGGCTAATATAGAAGAATGTACTTACTGGAAATTTGGACAATTTTAGTATTAAAATGCTCTTGTGTAAATATTAATCGTTTTGTTTACTTTTACCTTCCATCTATGATATCCTTACATATCATTACACCTTTATCACCTTTAGGCCTGCTCTAAGTGTGCGGACTGCTCGAGTACATACCCAATCATAAACAAACACGGACCGTTCTTGCAGACAATGCCAACAGCTTAAAGGCTGCCATCAGTGGCGTAACTGCGGGATCACGCCATTTACCCCATTCAGACATTTTCATCTAAACTTCTCGTTTTTTATTGGAAACTGGGGCCCACCCGATGAATTTGCCACGGGCCCCAAAGGGATAGTTAAGCCAGTCATTCCCACTCGTCACTCTCAAGTTTGTCCCCTTCGGTGAAGATTGAGAATATTATTTGAATAATTTCCCATAAGTCACCCCTGGGGATGAATATGGGGGTTTGTGTTTTAAAATCTTACTCGTCACACCTAACAAAATTACCTACCTCTGTTTGTCACGGTATCTAATAGTTTTAAATTGATTTAATATACCTATTTCATTTAGCAATGTAATTTAAAGTTTGAATAAACGATATAGATATTTAACGGGTACTTATTATATAACTATAGGATAATGTTACAATCATAATTAGGATAATAAATAGATTAGGAATAGGGGCCCGGTGCAGCAACAAACAGTATCAGAGCTTCAGCGACCATTATGATATGCCATAGACATTTACCATAGGTAACATTTTTAAAATGCTATATATATTGATTCTATGGACATCTGGGCTTTGCATACCACGAAGTAAAGACGTAAAATGCCTGCCGTTGCTAAGGAATTAATATTGGCAGCCATGTTAGCGTACGACAAAGAGTATAATAAGTATAGGGGAAGCGTACGATCTCCGGCCACCGTAAACGTGGGCCTGCGGACCGCGAGCATGAGTGGCTCGCCGTCCGACCAGAACCAGACCCGAGCGTAGGTACAGTGCGTCGCGTTCCGCGCGCGCCTCAAAGAGCCATCAGACTATCACAGATAATGCCTAATGCCGATACAAAGTCTCGGAACCTAACGGGTTACCGGGGCTCCGGCTCGAACTGCAGGAGTAGGAACGGGGTGGTTTTTAGTCAGAAAGAGTCTGACACTTCCTCCCGCCTCACCCAGGCATTCGATGATTCCCCTCCCCTTAAAAATAATGACATCTCATATTTGCCCGTCATCCTTTTATCAAATTAAGATTATACAAAATTTTTGCTCGAACAGAAGTTATGACGGGTAGGAATCGTATATTATATTTATATTTTTCTGGCAGAAGTGAGAAAACTTCCAAAATAAACGATTTTACATAGCATTACGCCTTTTATTCCCGAAAGGGTAGACAGAGGTGCAAATTACATCACTTAATACCATAATACAACGTAACACTTACTTTTCACTATTTATGAGTCACATGTAATAGGGGGTGAGCCCATTGCCATCCATATACCATATACAATTTCAGACTCCGTGCTACTACTGCGAATAGTAGTACCCAGTAATACTTTGCCCGAACCCGACGGCATTTTTCTTCTTTCTTGCCATTACTATCAATTTCGTCATACATGACTAGATGGCTGGCTATGCCAAAATATTTGAATAAATAGCCGTTGCCGGTTGTGGAGAAATGGCCTTTACAAGCGGAATGAAGAAATACAAAAACATCGACGCCGTACCCATCAAAGACGTTGAATTTTTCAAAGTCCTTGGTACCCTTTGATATCTATATGATACGAGGACTAAGGAGTCTTATACTAAAGTTAAACAACCTTACATGAAAACATATCAAAATAAAAATAAATTAAAAATATCTTTTGAAATGTGACATTAAAAGTTTATTATGTGCACGTAAATTATCTACAGTTTCAAACATAATGTTAATAATGCAAATAAATCCACTTTTGGACTACAGACATCCACAATGAAGCTACCGTTTAACCAAGTTTTGGCTCCTATGTTAAAACCTCACCTTGGACGAACTAGGATATTCTGTCATCATCCTACATTCTGTATGAGCATTTTGTACACTTACTCGTATGGCGTACTAGGTTTTGTAAGTTATGAATATATATTCTTCGACATATTCTTATCTTGTTCAGTATCTTCGTACTTTTTCGGTGCATTACTCCTGAATCGCGGACGCAGAAGGTCCTAAATTGCTCATGAAGAATTAAACTATGGCCACAAACTGTGCAATATAATAAGTACATATGAACCATACACTTTCCAATGATAAAAAGTAGCTTACGTGCAACGATGCAATTCCATAGTCCATTTGACGATTTTTGTTTTATTCATCAGCTTCCCAAATATGTACCTGAGTTATTTGAGTATGTAGTTCTGCTATCTTAAATGCATTGCAAGATTGCATGCTCAGCGTTACTTGGACCTTATAATCATCATATTCAAAACGGTTTTTCTTGCAGTTGCTAAGTGCAAATCATTTGAGGAAGCACTTAGGTGAGCACCCTCCAGTATGCTCACCGGACACAGTAAGAGATGATAGTAACTTCATGTTGCTCCATGACTTAAAGATCATCGCAACGTCAATGGGGCTGGTGCAGTACGCCTGTCTGTTAGTAGGATGTTTCACTGTAAGTTTTTTTGCTAAAGTACTTTGGTACGACTTGGTGCTTCAATCACGAAATCTGTTCGTACTGGTCTGTCATCTACTTATATCTATAAAAGATACCTAAGTATGTAGCTTAGAATCGTTCAATATACACCCCTACGTAAGTTAAACATAGGCATAATCATTGTAACTTTTCCCAATTTTCTTTTTGCAGGAAAATCCGTCTTTATTCATTCCACATTTAACAGGCCAAATGATTATGGTTGCTATTAAAATCCTGAATGCTCTCCTACTGTTTGTTCCGATTAATGCTAAAGCTATCGGCAAACTGACCCATAAAATTCCTGCTATAATGTTGATGGCCTTCAACTGGCTGCAAGAATTTTGTGTATTCCGAAAGTATCTGTGTATTTGCGACTTATAATTTCGATCTTAATAAATGTAAATGTGCAATATGCTTGTGTTTCTGTTAATAACTCACTGCTGAATACTTTGACATTTCGATTTCAATTCGTGTGATGATAGCAAAGTGGAATACATGTGTCACCATCAGGGCCGTCTTGACTGACGATGAGACTGCGCTGGGGCCAGACAGTAACTCGGGCCCTTTTAAAAATGTTTTATTTTTTATCGTTACACCACACTAGGGTTTTTTACTTGTATCGAGGGACGTGTCCCAGATCCGGACTACATAGATATATATTTAGGTAACAGAGGCCGAGTAGTGTATGATAAACTTCATACATTGAATTTGTGATTTCCAACCCGCTTACCACAAGTGGAGGTTAGGGCTCATCCCTCTTTTGTATAGGAGACCTATAGCCCAGCCGTGGCCTCGCCGTTAAACGGGCTACACGGTGAGCTCTGGTCAGTTTAAGTTAAAAAACATAACTTGGAACGTTAGGCATCTTCTAAGCCTCACATAATGGCCATTTTGAGCAAATTTAGGGCTAATTCTGCAATTTTAAGAATTGAAGGCAGACTCAGGAATCTCTTGAATAACACTTTCACACGTTTCAATTACCTACTCGCGATACACTATCACAAATTGCTACAACTCTATAAGCTTACTCACGTCATTATTTGACGAGGAACTCCACTAGTTTTAAGCCATGCCAGAGGCTTATATTATAATTAACACACAAGCCAAACAAAACTCTCGCAACAAGCAACATTCAACGATTACCTTACTGTCACACCATGAACACAAGACATAAAATTTCTTCATATCACGTTTTTTCAACCTCTTCACTATTTCTGCTTACCTACTTATATAAAACGCTGAAGCTTTTGTCTGGAATATTACAAATTACTTATGAACATGTTAACTACATAATCAAATGCTTTATTTTAGTAATCAATATCTCTTGAGTTATTTCAACACAAATATAGGTTCGAAATTTTCCTTGGTGGGCTATTTTGTTTTGGACGATTTTTTAGAGATAATTTAGATGTTATGGAGGAGGATGTACACAGGAACTGCTTAAATTACCTTTTTGGGCAACTGAAGTACTTGATGTACCTGTTTTATGAATGGTGACTGGTTTCAAAAATAATTTATTTTGGCATTGACAATGGCAATGAATATATCAGACGTTATCTGTCATTACCTATTCATACCTTTAAATGTGCTACATTATGTAATAACGTTTAATATTTTACATTTTAAGTGAAAATTCGTGTGGTTACTCATGGAATGTATATTATTATAGTTTATCCACTACCGCTACCATGACGATTTATGGTAGTTGAAATGAACCAACATGGAAACGGAGAGTAATACTTTCTTGAATCAGCTTCGGCTCAAACATGAGAATCACGCGAATGTCGTAAGTACAAGCAATGCATGTAATGTAATAAATTTAAACAGCGAAGATGCCTACTTCACCAAATAGGTAATAAGTCATGGAGTATGTTAGGATCATATTAAACACTCTGTCGGACTCCATACTCCAGCATCAGGCTCATACCTTGTAGGATATGAGAGGATTTGCTTGGTATATTCTTTACGGTTGGCGGGCGGATCTTCTAGAAGAAAAGGTTTAGGTTTACCGGAAAGCTCTGCCCGGTGTTATTCAGATGTAATCCTTACCTTAGGCGGCTCTTACGCGGGAATAAAAAGTGTGACGGAAATGATTCACACTTCAGATGACTCACACTTGTGGAGTGACCACATGAAATACTAGTTTTCATATGAAGTAGATAGGTTTACCATGCCAATTTGTAAGTAGTCTACCTATTTGCAGAAGAAATATTATTGACACGAGTTCCCTTTAATTTTGCAGTTGAATCACGTCAGCCATGAGAATTCGGACGGCATTAAAATAAAATTGCGAGCATTGTTGGTAGCGCTTCTTGGGGTGTCCATGTCGGCATGCGCTTTCGCGTCCCAACCCGTCGAACTAGAGCTGGACGACGATGATGTCGCACAGAAACTTAACAACGTCAGCTTTGCTAGACGGTAATCCTTTATAATTGACTTATAAACGGTTTTTTTACTAGTCGATGTTGTACAAAGTGATTGTTTTATTCCAGAATTACTAAGCCTACAATTCGACTAGTGATGGGTTATGGGAAACTTAGTGCGTTTGTCACCGCAACAACCTCATTGCTTTTACTGGTGGCTGTAATGTCTAAAGTAAGTTTGTAATATATTATGCGTATTAGTTTAGGACAAGGGTAGGACGTCTAAGGTCCCAAACACTGATTTAAACTGTCAAACACCAAGCGGTCACCGGTGACCGCAACCTATTGTTCTATAATTGTGTCTACAAAACCGGTACTCGACGAGTTAATATTTATATTTCCTGGTCGAATAAGTCCTTTTAATATTAAGTATTAAATTCCTTATACCTGAATAAAGTCTATAATAACTGATATTGCCTGATCCGCCCTTGCTCGGAAGTTTGGAACCAGTCAATCAACGAGACTATTACTGTGAAAAAAAAATCGGGAGGTTTAATCAAAATCCGCGACACGATCGAGGACAAAACCAAGGTAGGTATTTGTCGCAAATCATGCTGCCCGGGCCATAGTATTTATGTTGGGCTTTGGCTATTTTGCGCTGTGAAGAGACGACGCTATTACTATATTAGCTTTTAAGTATTTTTCTGTCACAACGATACACTGTTTCTAAATAAACTGTTTTTCTTTCTTTCACTTGTTTCTGTTGATAGTTACTACAATTTGTTTTTGGCAATCATTTTTCCGCAGCAATCTTGGTGGCGTCGTGGTGCTCGGTGGCTGGCTGCCCCAGCGCTGCTGGTTGCTGCATTAGAGACTGCATCGGATGCCAGCGATGCCATGCTTGCAGCCGTGTTGCGTGGCTCCGCCGAGCCAGCGCGGGTCGCCGTACAAACTGCCGCCGCTGCTCTGCTCATCACCGTCGAAATACTAGTATGGTACGTGACTTCATAATCAACGTCAACGTCATTAGTCACTGCAGTGTTGAGCTTTTCTTCATCATCATCATCATATCAGTTACAATGCATCAACTGCTGAGCTTTAGCATTAGCTATCTCAATGATTTATAAGATTAGCCAATCAATATCCAGCGGCTTCCTTCGATTTATCGGTTCACTTTTATTAATTTATACAACTTTGTAGAATTTTATTTGTTACAGGTATTTTATTGCGAAATTTTTCGAGTATAACCCTCCAGCGACAGCCGAGGAACGTGAGAAAGAGAATCTAATGAGAGCAATGCCACAATAAATAATGCCCTTACAGAAACATAAAACTACAGATCTAATTTTGTACAAATACAACAATTTTGTAAAAATATTATTCCGTTTTATTTTAAACTAACATCCCGCCACAGGTATGCAAACACCTTTGCGGACTCCTTTCGGCAAATAGCATCCTGTTTCGTCGATTTTTTTATATAGAAACCTTGTGCTAGCATTTAAAATCGTGAAAAAAAGAATTACCCATTTTAGTCCAATAATTCGGGAGTTAAATGGACATAGTATTTGGGTGACTGGTATAAGCCATAGAAATAAACTAGCGGACCCGACAGACGTTGTCCTGTAATAATAGGTTTAGATAAATAACCTAGAAATCGACTGCAGCGCCATCTGACGGGCTGATTTGTGAATCTAAACCATTCCCAGATCCCCTAAAAAATTTCATCAAAATCGGTCCAGTCGTTTGAGAGAAGTTCAGTGACATACACACTCACAGAAGAATTATATATATAAAGATAAACGACGATATACTTGGAACAATTTGGGTAGAAAAATATATTAGGGAAAGATATACACAAACAAGAGATGAGATATATTTATTACTTATAACAAAGCATATACAGAAACTTAAATACATTCAAGAATATATTATCTAGTACTACGTACATAATAAGTCTAAATATCTATGGAAACATTTTCTACATTCATTTTCTACAGGTACATGTTAGAAGGCACTGTTCCTTGTGCAATATTATTATAACCTAAAAAATAATCAGTTACTCGTTATCACAGTGCTTATTTCTATCACGTGCGTATATTATAAATATCTCAAACATTATAGGAATATTAATATCATAAATATATTTCCAAAAAGCCTCATTATCAAATACTATAGGTTAGATAAATATTTAGACGTTTTTGATATGTTTCTGTTACAATCCTTGCAGACTAATTTGGTGATTTGTACCTTAAGTGGTAAAGCTTTAGAATCGAAATTGCAATCATACTTTTTAACGTTTTCTATTATTATCGTTATAATAATTTTATTTCTTACTAATGTTCTATACGCCAATTAAGCAAAAGCAGATTAAATGACAACATTTTCTTAATTATTGCGTTTCGTAAGCGGTCCTTTAACTAACAATGATAAGTCTTTGACTGCCAATAGAAAATGTTAAAAGTAAATCTTCGGATAATATCGGTTACCGGTGACCCATAGCGCTTAAGGTGATGACTACTGGCTACGCCCAGTGCATTGTCTACTGCATATAAATACACCGTGGAATTTATATGGATTTCGTCCCGAAGTAAAATGGCTCTGTCTCAGTAATAAAATGGCTTTACAAAGAAATCAAATGTTTAAAACAAAAAATAACTGGATCCATTGCAAAAAGCAAACTTCGAAAGCGCTTACGAAGTTACGAATCATAGTATGTTATCAAAACATTACGCCATGTAATTCTCAAAGAGGTATTTCTCGTCGGGTGGCATCTGCGATACAAATAGTGCCCACTGCCCACCTTACATCTAGTGTCTCATGTGCATAAATCGATGAATACTTTTTGAAATTAAAAAGATATGACGTTTTAAATTTTTTACTTTTTCATTTATGCATCGATAGTAGTTTTCATGGTAAGTAGTTTTGCCGTGAGACGAAAAAGAAATAGATTTCACAGTTGTATCCTGTGAAACACTTTCCCTACATTATTGAGGTTAACCAAGCACCCGTGCTGTAGATTAAACTTTACTAGTCATAGTGTTGACAAACCAATAATCGATGATAAACGTGAATTTATGTAGAACTAAGAATATGTCTATATATACCTGATACCCCTACAAGTTTCACAAACTATTGACTTTTTATTCGGAAATTCCAATGACCTTCGATCCATTTCACTGTCGACCCAGCCGAGCAGACGATCTTTCAAATACAATATTGTTTCTTGGCGCACAACGCCCTCTTGGAAGAATTCTTTTAAAACTATAACAATACCATTGTCGTTGTCTCTGCTCGGGTCACCGAGGGGTCTTTGGTGTTTCATATAATTAAATACGAATTTAACAATTTGGACTATCAAGTCCTCTTCAGGGCTCAGTAGTCTAAGTCTGGCGATGTCTTCTGGGACGAGTTTGGATAAGACATTGAATGATATTGTCATGAGGTTGGCGTAGACATCTTGACTGAGGTTTTCTAGCATGAGAGCCACATTCTCGGCGCCTGAAGCACTAACTCGAACAAGGAGAGAACCGATTCTTAGTATTTCTCCAGGGTGGATGCCAACTAAAGTGCCTTCTTCTTCGCCTTCAACGTAGCCCGTGACTGCGTTAGTCGATGGAACTACACGTGTCGGCACATTATTGGTAGTCAATGAAGCAGGTCCCAGAGAACTGAACAGTTGAGCCCTACCTTCCTTACCTAGATTGTACAACTCCGAAGGATTGAATTTGTGTTGAGAGTTCAAGTTGACTTGGCCATCCGATGTCATGGATATTCTAAGCTTGTGTTGGTTGACATCTTTGTTAATTCTGAGTACGTCAGCGAAGTACTGGTCTTTGTCGAAGATGTTCTGAATGCCTTTAATGACTTCTGTGTTGCCTTGTACGGCGCCTTGTATTCTTCTAGATTCAGCGCTGATTTTGTCGAACATTTTCCTGCAAAAAATGATGTGAATATACTTATTATGCACACTTTTTAAGATAAATATAACGTCATGTATTTTAAATCCTAATGGGGTAGACATAGGTGCACTTGTTCAATGTAACATCCACTTATCACCAGTTATGTTACGAGGTTCATAGGCATGCTCGACATTCAACCTTAAAGTCTGGTGTTACAGTTGATTTTGCTATTAACTATAATGAGGTTTAATAAGAACAAAATGAACTGACCTGTGCCTATTACTCCTAAGCGTGGCTCGGTATTCGTTGATAGTTTTCGCCTGGGCATCTTCAATGATACTTTGAGCTGTACGGTTAGAAACCACAGCGTGACAGAAGAATAACGTTGCAGACGCGAATTGGAAGAGCTCCAGCTTCGTCGGTTTCTCTCCGTGCTTGCGATACTGAAATAATAATAAAACAATAATTATTATTAATTAACAAAAGAGTCGTCTAAATCGCCATTTTAAAAGTGTGGTTTGTGTGCTTAGCTGAAACAAATAAAATTACCGTAAAATGGGATGAATAGCAATGGGATAAAATGGGATGTGTAACCTAAAAATTATTTTGTAAGGCATGTGGTGCCAATAGAGCCTTTGAAACTGATCAGAGACCCATTGCTCAGCAATGGATTTTGACAGACGGTTCACTGTCGTAACTGCTAAAGGACTACAGATTAGACTGCGTACTTATAAATAAAAATAGATTTTACCTTCAGTACTATATGCAGCAAGCTGTTGACAACTCCAGCACCACCCGTAACTATGTTCGCATGACGCAGTACTTCTACTGATACGGCCAGCGCTTGTCCCGTCTACAGAAAAACGAAATATAGATGGTGAACTAATTGTAGGTAAAAGTACTATAAAATGTGCAGGTTTAATGTAAGAAACATGTTCGAAAATAGGGATGAGACAGGGTATGAAAATTAAAAATCTAATTAGTCCGTCAGTTAGGTAATCAAAAAATATTAGACACGTATTTTTTTATTTCGCTGTATAAGTAAACAATACTTAGATAAAACGAATCAAAGTTTAAAAGTGGGAGGTAGCCACGTCATTTAAGAGTATAAATCGTAATTAAAAGTGACGTCATGCAATATTTCAAATCAATATATCTTCAAAACTATTCGTTTCCGTAATAAAATAAAAAATACTTGTCTAATGTTTTTAAATAATCTACCAAACGGAGATTGAAATAAAAATTAGGCATTTACCCTATTCTCTATTTGCATCCGAGAACCAATTTTTTGTTGAACTGGCACCTCCAAGGTCTATCATTGATTTGTAATTCTATTACATTTAAGAGCAACTTATTTTTCTTAAAAACAAAAAGAAAATTGATTTTGCAGTAATTTTTTTAAGGGGTGAAAATCATCGATTGACTGCTCCCGCCTGGGTGAGGCAGGAGGTAGTGTCAGACTCTTACTGACTAAAAACCATCCCGTTCCTTGTCCTGCACGTCGAGCCGGAACCCCGGTAACTCGTTAGGTTCTCGTGCAGTAATAATATGTACCTAACGCCTGAATAATAAAATGCTACTCAATTTTAAGTTGTACTTAAATATCATGCCATCTCTGTCATTTTACAAAGACTTTGTAGTGTCGGAACTATATCTAAGCGCGACTTAAATTTGAGTCGCGTTTGAGTAGTTCAGCGTTAGTACCTAAAGTGGCAGTCACATTTAATAGTTACCTTAGTCATATTAGTCCCGGCGGCGGCGGAGCGTGACAGCAGAGAGCTGGCGGCGCCCGCGGCCAGGCCAACGCTCGACGCGGCTATATTTAACCAACTACCGCGCGCCTCCGCGTCCGTAGGACTTATTGTCTGCAAAAACAACTCTTTATTATCATAATCATCCTACAAGCTCCCAAAACTGTAGCAATTTGTAAGCCAGTAAGTACATACGCACGATAGACACAACCATGAAAACACCAAAACAATAAAGTTCGACGCATCTTAGAGGCAGGAACAACTGTTTTGGATTCCACAGCGATATAAATCAAAGAATGTCTTTAGATGAGATATCATTAATAATCATCAGCCAGAAAATGTTCACTACTCGTTTACAAACTCACTTGTTCATGAGCGCTTCTATCACGAAGATGTAGGGAAGAGCGCACGAGACCATAAACGCCAGTGGCGACAGTAGCTACTGCGGCGCCGGCGAGTACTACGGGGGCTACTGGCGTGAAGGCTGCTACACCGATTACTCCAATAGCGCCGATAGATGCCACTGTACTAGCCGTGTCTACTGAACTGAGTACTCGAGCCTTAATACCCAATGTTGGTGAAGGTGATACCGTCAACTTTACAGCAAATGTTTCTTCTCCCTTGAAATTTAAAAAAAAAACATTAAGTGATAATTGTTTATTAACTATACAAGTATACAGATGCAGAGAAGTTCTTTAACCATCTTTAAACGGTGATTTTCCGATCTTATGAAACTCGGTAAGTACATTGGAAAACTAGAATTGAGTATCCGAATTGGCACATTCTCGTATTTTATGTCAATTCATTTTCGGTCGTTACTAGATTAACTGTCAATAAATTTTCCAGACATTATACTACTATATTTTGTGATACTTATTCGCGGGACCTAATCGAGGAAAGCTCTATTAGTTTCAAATCAGATCAGGATTCATATTCATGAGCAGCATCGGCTGCGTGTCCTATATTCCAATTAATTATCTTAATATGCTGACAATAACTATTTGTTACTGGTTAAACTCACCTCTAGAAGTGTTCCAGTATATTCTCCATTTTCAGGTACAATGATAACACATTTTGGCAAAGTATTGTTTGTTAAATACGATTCCCAGTCGTGGTAAACTCTCGCATTTTCATCTATGTAAACCCGGCATGATTTCACTGTAATATAAAATTATAAAAAGATGTATGTACTATTTCATTATTCGTGTTTCTAAAACTCATAAAGATAGACCTATTTAAATTGAGCATTGAACAATTTGCTACAGGAAATAACCCAGACAGAACTGCTTTATGATAAAATAATAATTCCTATATACAAAATTTGGATTCGATAAACTCATTTTACTACAAAAATACTTTAACACTTATTTAAAAAATAATTTGATAAAGTAAATAAAACCACGCAATGTACATTATCACTCATACATACGCCAAAACAACTGCCATTCGTAAGGAAATAACTTATTTATTTGGTTTGTAAAACTTGTAGTCTAAATTATATGCATAGGTATATAATTTAGGTACAAGCACAGACTGCCTCATCAGTCGAGTCATCTCTGATCCGATTCACGAGTAATAATATTTCTTTTATAAACTACGTGTAAGAAAACCGACTTCAAACCCCTTTTTGTTGAAGTCGATAAATTGATATACTAAAATCTTCCCCAAAATCGCTTCAGTTAATCGCAAGATAATCGCGCACAACCATAAAGTCAAAGTCAAAACATTTATTTAAATTAAACCATAATTTGGTACTTTTGAAACGTCAACAAATACAAAATAAATAATAGTCTGTCAGTGAGTCCATCAGTGAAGCTAGGTGAAACTAGGTGCTCATTCCAAAATGTAGATTCGAATGGAGAAAAACGAGGAAGAAACTCCATTCGTTACTCTTTTAAAAAAAAGTATGTTCTATAATATCTCTGACACATATAAGATAGATAAGACTAAAAACCTCCTTCTTTTTTCTTTTTTTTAAGTCGGTTATAAAAAGGTTGTCTGGAAGAAATCACCATTGTGTGATAAGACCGCCCATTGTACGCATATTTACTTGAATACTTTGTTTTAAGCTACTTAAATGTGTACAATAAAGCATAATATATAAATAAATAAATAAATAAATAAAACGTGGGTTTTTATTATTGTAAGTTATGGTTATACTTACTTCCAACAGTAGTAGGTATACATTTCCTGACTCTGAACACTGCAGTACACCATATGTCACTATCGGTTCTCTCATGCAGGTCCAACCAATAGTTTGCGGGTTGAATCTCATAAAACTTCAGAGGTTTTGGTTTAGCACACACCACAAGGAGCACAGACATAACTATGTCGTCATCGTTGTATGAATATTTACCTGTAAATATAAATTAATTAAAAATTAGCAATATGAAAGAAAGAAAGAAAGAAAGAAAAAGCATTTATTTGGCACATGGCACACAAACAAAGATTATGAAAAATAAAAAAAAATACAAGTACATACTTACACAAAAACATAATATCAAAAGGCAACATAAAAGCATAAAGAAAATAACAAAAATATCACTACCATCAAAGAACTAGACACTGAGCAATGGGCAGAATACCAGTAACTGAACTGTAATACCTAAGCAGTTTGACACTGAAGGCTTTGATTTTTGTTATTGGAAATCGTTGCCCCACTCTAGGATTTTCTCCCATGTTGTGGGTGCGTTTTCAAACATAGAAGTTCACATACACATGACAGTATGACACCCAGACCCGGAACAACAATTTGTGGATCACACAAAGAGTTGCTCCGTGCGGGAATCGAACCCGCCACAGCCACCGTGCAATCAATATTGTTTAGCCGTGGATATCTAGCAGCTGGCGACGATGATAATAAAGTGACAGTCACAACAAATATTTCTTTGAGTAAATGGGCCGGGGCGACCGCGACCGAAGTGTTACTATTGTTTCACACAAAACTGGCGCCGTGCCTATCCGCGGCGTTGATTACTTTTCAGTGGGTGATTGGTTAGTCTGTTTCTCGTGCTACATCATTAATCTCTTCATTTTAATTAATTCTATATACATTTAATAAAATCGTAGAAAAGTCAAATCTGTACATTGAATATTTTTACAAAAGAATACTTGGAGCGTGATCTACAATCGATACCGAAGCCAAAAATATGGTTTTTAGAATTTTTGTCTGATTGTCTGTATGTATATCTGGGATGATCTCAAAAGGTACTGCATGGATTTACTTAAAATTTTGCATGAATAATACTAAAAGGTCGGGTCAACATATAGGCTATATATTCTCACGCTATCATCTACGGGGGAGGAGCCCTATACTAGGTACTGAATCAATCCTGACAACATTCGTTACCGTAGAATCTCCCTTGAATAAAACTAATTTAAAAGCCTTAATTCTGACAGAAGTCATTATTCTACGCGGACAAAGTCGCAGGCAATAGCTAGTCAATAATAACACTAGACTAAGCTGTGCTACTACTAAAACATATGTATGTTGATCTGAAAAAAAAAATTGAATTTGAATTAACCCGTTGATATCCATCCCCTAAAAGTATTCTCTAAACATTAGAAATAAGGTCTATAGTGTAATGTAATATTAGTGGAAAGCGGTCACCGGTGACCGCTTGGGGATTTATGGGTTAAAAAAAGAAACTTACTTTGTTCACACAATTTTTCATAGACTCTCATAACTTGTTCTTTCTGCCTGCTGGTGTATCCTTCAAGGTGTGCGTGTTGATCTCCAATGACTTCAGACAACTCTCCTTCAGTGCTCGGTCCTCCAAAGAGAGCAAATGCTACATTTTGAAGCAAATAGTTTCTATTGCTTTTCTCGTATCTGAAATAAATTGGTCAATACTTATTTTCTTCAATGTCATCCCAAGTAAAGTAAAAGTAATTTTTAGTTAGTGCTGATAGCTTCCACTGGTAAAAAAAAAATAACTGGAGTGGAATTAATAAATATGTTGATACATCATAACTACCTGAAAATTTGTCCATAGAAAAGTAGTCTCTAAACATTGGCAATAAGGTCTCTAACGGAGTTAGTGGAGAGCGGTCACCGGTGACCACTTACGGAGGTAGTAATTAATTAGTAATTATTATTCATACTTATCTCTTACCTAACCCTACTGCTTTTAATGGTAATGCTAACACCAATAAATAATTACTAATTATTTAATATGTATTACTAGAATCTACTAATAAAATCATAATTATAGTTACTAACTTCACCCAATCGCAATCACCCAAATTTTCATAATATTCCTGTTGTATTTGTACTGGAGACACTTTCATCATTGCTTCGACTGCAGTCTCAACATTTTGATCACTTTCATCTGGCAATGTTACCGCTTCCGGAAGCACTTCAAAACTTTCCACTTCTTTTATCATACCCAAATGTTTTGATGCCATATTTACCTGAAATTGAAACATACTGTAGATATACAATTTATTTTACAAGTTTTTTGCTGGTAATATAATAACATGTTATATGTTATTATCACGCCATTTATTCCCGAAGGGGTAGAAAGACGGTGCATGTAATGGCACTTAACAGCCTATATGACACCCACTTTTCATTGTTTATGTTATGAGTCCCATGTAATAGGGGTGAGCCTATTACCATATACCAGGCACATTTCCAAGCTCTGTGCATTTCTACTGAGATTTTTTTTAAAACCAAGTAAATCTTTGCCCATCCAGCGATAAGTGAATCAAACCCGAGGCCCCTTGGCCGGCATTTGCACTGTGACAACTCGGCTAACGAGGCAGTCAAACGATTTTATGTCTATAATAAGGATTGTTGCATATTGTACATTTATTTATGGGTTCGTCTTGGACTCGGCCAATGACGCAGTCGGTAAAATAATAAGTACTATGAAATTGTTACTAAAGTATTTGGTAAGGTTGATTTATTTAAGTTGAAAGGGAATGGTAGAGTCCAAAATTAGTTTACATTGTTATTGCAAAACACAATTATCAATGATCAGTTTTTTTTTAATAATAATTATAAATTATTCTTTTATTAGTTTTATACAATAGAATATAATAAATAAACCCACCAAACTGCTATGACAGTTTGACGGCGGGTTACTTCACTACCTAAAATTAACTCGTTGAGTACCGTCATTATAGACACAATTATAGAACAATAGGTTGCGGTCACCGGTAACCGCTTGGTGTTTGACAGTTTAAAAAAGATACATTACACTCACAATAATAGTTTTGCAAGTAGATAAATACTGACTCATCATTGTTTCGTGCCTGAATAAAGTATTTGACTTGCTAATTTTCTAATAAAGAAGCATATTGCATCATAATTACAAATTAATTAGATTTAAAGTTTACACAGTAGTAATATCAATTTTATTTGTATTTAGTCAAAGTAATTTTTGGTTTGTTTCCAGTTCTGTGAATTTAAGAATATTGTACAGTAACAATAAGATACCTATATGATGTTACAAGTTGTTCAAGTACTGTACTATACATAGGTACCTATATCTATTAAATCACTATTTACAATAACTACATGCATGTGTTTCTGGTGACTCATTTATAATGACTAAAAGTGGACATACTCTATTATATTAGGATATGTAGTTGTTAATAGTTCTTATAGTTGTTATTATTAATTTATTAAACGCTTTTTTGTTTGGTCTAGATTATAAATACTCAGGTACGTACGAATAAATAGATTCATAATATATTATTTACATAAGTATTTAGGACACTAATGGAATAGTTATTTTAAATACATAAATCAGATATACCTAACACTAAACAACAATATGCATGGCATGTTTATGAATGAAAACAGAAATCTTTTATGAGTTTGAATTAAAAATAAACAACACAGTATCTTACCGCAATAATAAGGTCTCTTTTACAATTTTTGTTAACTTTGCAGTATAATATGTAATTTTACGGTGAATACCGATCCATTATAATGTGCGATGTAAATACTCCTGCTCTTTGTTTTGACTTTTAGTTATAAAATTTTCCATCATGATGAAAATGACGTAAGTTGACATAAGTAACGTCAAAACGTCAATTCAAGCCGTCGTCATTTGTAACGTTCAGAAATTTTCAGGAATGTTATAAGATACTGTAATAGTTTCTTATAATTTTTTTGCACATTATTTAAATTTAATACATACATCTTAAAATTAACTTAAACGTACGTACGTTCCTTATTAGTTTCTTAGTGATAGTTATGTATGACCGACTGTATTTGCTATTTTTGTAAAATCATGTACAATGTGCAACTAAAAGTGCAACAATATGTTAATTATTGCTATTTGAAGTATGTGTATTTGCTTTATAAATTGAGAAAAATACTTTACCATACACAAAATCTTATTTTTGCAAAATTTGACTCCAGGCTTTTGTATGTTTCCAATATGCTCCATGTTTTTAAAATGTATTTATTTTATTTACAAAATGATCCATAATCATTATCCCATTACCTATACCTAATAATATGAAGGGATGGGAAGTAAATTATAGACTACTTATCTTCTTTTCTCTTTCTACCTCCACTTTCTTAAAATGGTAGTGCTAGTTTTTATGGAATATTTCGTGATTTTCAACGAAAAAATGTTAAAATTGGTACAACGAAGGTACTTCAAGTTCAGATATTACGATTTTAGGCTTTTTCCAGTGTCGTTTTCACAGTGGCGTAAGTACAGGATGGTAAGTCAGCAAAATGCCATGTACCCCCAATCGAAAGGGGGCCCCCTTCCAGAGCTTTGTATCCGAACTTCTCTGTTAATAGGCAAAGTGGGTCCATCCGGTGAATTTGCCACGGGCCTTGAATGGTATAGTCATGCTACTGGTCGTCGTCGTTATTAGTTACGCTAATTCTCGTGTGATTATTAATCAATAATTACGGTATTTTCAATGCAGTAGTTTTTAAATTTATTTACTTAGGTACCTATGTAATGAAAATAATGATTTATGAAACTGACGCGTGCGTATGGCGCGTCGCATTCTGCGCGCGCCTCTAAGACCCATCAGACCACCACAGATGGTGCCCAGTTCCGAGTAGGTACCCTAAAGGGTTGCCAGGGGTAGGAAGGCCTAACGGATTGCCAGGGCTCCGGCTTTAAGAATAAGGGTGGGATCGGGGTGATTTTTAGTCCGTAAGAGACTGATACTCTCACTCGCCTAACCCAAGGCGGGAGAAGTTGGGCTCGCTGCCATTGCAGCGGTAAGTCCCCTCTTTGAGGAGTGGCTTGAGGGACGCTACGGCGTCCTCACATACCACCTGACGCAGGTCCTCACCGGACATGGAAGTTTCGGGAGGTACCTGTGTCTGATGGGGCGGTAAAAACTCCCGGGTGTCATCACTGTGAGGACCGCCCTGAGGACACGGTGGAACAGGAACACACAGTGGGAGAATGCCCTGCGTGGGCTAAGTACCGCCGTGTCCTCAGGGAAGTGATCGGCGATGGCGACCTCTCGCGTCCGGGCCTAGTGCAGGCCATGTTGCGGAGCGAGGGGGACTGGGATGCCATCTCCTCCTTTTGCGAAGCAGTCATGCTAGCTAAGGAGGAGGCGGGACGCGTGAGGCAGCGAAGCGCTGCCTCCTCGCAACCCGGCCATCGCGAAGGACACACCGGGCGTCGGGGATCGCGGGACGAATTCCGGCCACCGTAACCGGGGCTTCGGCTCGACGTGCAGGAGAAGGACCGGGGTGGTTTTTAGTCACTAAGAGTCTGACACTCCCTCCTGCCTCACCCAGGCGGGAGCAGTCATTCGATGTTTTTCCCCCCTTAAAAAAAAGGCGGGAGAAGTCATTGGATGATTTTCCTCCCTCAAAAGAAAGTAAGTATAAGCAAACGTCTACGTAAACTACACAATGTAAGTAAAGAAAGATACATACAAAGTAATATCTAGGTACCTGCTTATCAACTTGCAATAGTGATAAAACCTTTACTAAAATTAAAACTGTTGGTTTAACAGTTAGCTCAAGGTAGGCTAGGTACATCGAACCTATTAACAGCCTGTTGCTGGCCGATAATATGGTAATTAAAAAGTTTTACTGCGTCATTGATCGAGTAGTCACAATCACAACACAAGTGCGAAGCGAATGCAAAGTACCTACCTAAGGGGTGTCGAGTTCTACTTTTGGTATGGACAAAGTATTACAAAAAGAGTAGGTATGTTACAGTTAAAAAGATTTCAATATTAAATCGTAATCTGGATTAGTGGCTGGTGTATGGTAATGGGCTCACCCTCAAGTACACGGGACCCATGAAATAACTAGTAAAAAGTGGGTGTTAGGTACATTGGGTTTGTGCCTAAATAATTTAATTATGTACTTACCTAATGACGATAAAGTCATTAAATAAAAGTTAAAATTGTCATAGTTTTCTACGGTATTATTATGACCTAATGCCTTGTTGATTCGATCAACAACTACGAATGAATGATTTGCGAGTAACTAAGTGTTTTTCTAGGAGTATGTACTTGGAATCGTTATTGAGACGTGCTAACGTGGTAGTCTAAACACGAACAATGTAAATGGAAATAAGTAAGGGCAACCTGACCGATTTGTAAGTATACGGCAATCATATTGGTAGGTACGTTACTTTTTTGTAACCATTATGTAATCAATAAATACATATGAATCATAATTATTATAACTAATAATATTTTTCCACGATTACCCAGCTACAAACGAAAACGATTTTAAACAAGGCCGCAAGAAGCCGATGAATGTAGGGTGTTTCCAAACGGCCGATCTAGAAGAAGTTACAATACCTACTTTTATAAACTGTTTAGCAGAGGTCTTATTATCTTTACGATAACCAGAAGCCGCAGAAGCGTTTCATCAACCTTAGAGTTATAAACACTGGATTATAAGTTTCTTTGTGTAAACTGGTTTAACTTAATGCATGGCAGGCTTGGTTCGAGACTATTCTGTTAAAATGTCAATTCGAACTCTCTAAAGGCTACTACACACATGCCGGCGGCATTGCCGCCGGGTTCATGCCGAACGGCTATGCCGCCGGCAATACAAGGCACAAGCCGCACAACACAAAGCCGTCAAGCATCATTCCGGTTGTGACAGTCACATAGAACGCTAGTGAAGTGAAAATGTTTTACTTGCCGGCGGCTCCTTTGTGCGGCAAAGCCGGCGACTTTATATGCCGCGGGGTGCACTGCGGCTTACCCGGCGGCCCTGCCGCCGGCACTGTGTGTAGGAGCCTTAAGTAAGCTTATTCGCGGTTCGCCATGTTATTGGTTGTGAGAACAATCCCGACCAATGACGGGCGAGAATGCGATCGTGCTCACTTTGAAAGTTTGAATTTAGATCTTACAGAATAGCCCGGTTTCCCCCATACTCTTAAAGCCTTTTTTTTTTTTTTTTTTTTTTT